AGAAGGTCTTCAAGGTTTCTTCTGGTAAAGGTGCTTTCTTCTATTTGATTTCGAAAAGCACGGAGGTTTTCTTCCAGTATACTCCTTTGTGTCTCTGCCTGAAAAATGAACTGCCTAACACACTCCAACTCCTGCTCTGCATCTGCTTTCTCTCTCTCAATGCTTTCTAGATCTATACGACACTGCTTTGCCTCTTGCTCAGCCTTGGTCTTCTGAAGACAGATCTCTTCCATCTCCTTCTGCTGCTTCTTCCGCTCTTTTTCTGCAGCTTCTCTCACTTTAGGGAGCTCCTGTTCCACTTGGCTTTTTTGTTTCTTCATATTCTCCAACATCTCCTCAAGTGTTTTTACCTTTCCCATGAGTTTTTTATTCTCATCAGCTGTGCTATTTTGCTGTGCCATTAGATCTGAATATGCCTGACGTGCGGATGCTTCCTTACTCCTTAAAATCTGTAAAAGAATAAGATAAGTTGGAATGCACTTTTTGTAATACAGCATATGGAATGTATTAGGCTCTTAGAAAAGCAGAAGGGAAAATACTTACTCATGCATACATGGTATGTCCAGAAAGCAGGATGAGCAGTTCCCACCACCATCACCTTCTCCTGAAGGCTTCAGGAAGTTACCATTAGCCAAATATGAAACCCTTGGCAAAGCGAAGAAATCCTGCAGCCTCTCACTTCAGTCAGATGCCTCTTAGCAGAAAGCAGCACCAAACAGCTCACTTTGGCTTTCTCTCCAAACAAATAGGCAGAGCAAACAATGACCTGAATACAGTGTGCAAGAATTCCCAAAGAGAAAGTGGCCTACCATTTCTCAATCAGTTCAGCAGGAGCTGGAACAAAGATTTAAGCTTGCAAGCACAAATGACACAAGAAGAGTTTGGAAATCCCCTCCAAGAAAAGAAACAGTATCTTAGAGCCAAGATGCAGCAGCTGCAGAAAGAGCAATATCCAACCCCCATACATCTGTGCTCCACGGTGTGCTCCCCAGTCCCAGTGCCCCCACTGACCCAGCTGGGGGACCAGCAAGAGCCCAGCTGCTCTGCAGTGCAGACACACGAGTGTAAACAGGGTAATTAGGAAAATCGTAATGAAAACCAGTTGGCTGGTAGCCTCCATATATTGGCAGATCCAGAGCAAGTCCTTTGAGCAAGAAGTGTAATCACCAGTAATAATATGGCTGAAACTATACATACCTTGTCTTCATTAGCACTGTTGTGGTGCTAAGTTACCAAATGTGAGCTAACATGAAGTAAGAACACACCTATATTCCTATGATCATACAAACAGGGCATGAAGGGTAACGACAGCAACATTTTCAAACAAACAAACCATTGGGTTACTTTAAATTTACCAGATTTACTTGATTTTTTGTACGATATCTGAGACTTTTCTTAAAAGGCTAATGCAAAGGCAGCTTCTCCAGTTCCTCTCCATATTTCCCTGTATTATAATTTTGAACAGCCCCCAATAGAACAAAGTATGTAAATTGATTTGTTGTCAGATCTTTTATACTCACATAAACACAAAATCTAATGTGTTATGCTTGAAAAATGAAGACCTAAAAATAAAGGTACAGTAACAAACTGCATCTTCTTAGATTTCATTTTTTAGTCAACATGCTGAGCATCAGTTGGGTGGAGAAAAGGATGGCAAATATTAACATAAAATAAACAAAGATTAATTTCTAAGAACTTAAAAATCTTAAGCATCTCAAAATATACAGTAATTAATACATGATTAACATATTCATTGTTTAAATTATGCTCAATCAACCTTAAATCACTTGACCTTGACATATTTTGTGATTCAAATGTTGATTTGCATTGATTTAGAATCATTCTTAGATTAACTCTTTCATTTGCATTGCATAAAAACTCTGGTACCTTAACAACAGTTGTGCTCCTTTTCTCTTCATTATGTTTCTCTCTCTTTTTTTGCTTTTCTTGTTTTCCAAATGAGGCTTTTATGCCTACTTTTTCACTGACTATTTTCTGGAGTTCAGTGGTTTTTCCAGGGACCTTTGTGCTGTTACCCTCATCTCTACTGTCTACTTCTAAAACTAGCGATAAATCTTTGCATTTCTGACCCTGTTCTAGCCTGTCTTCTCCACTCTGCTTCTTCCCACTTCTATTTATGCTGTCCAAACCATAAGTGTTACCCTGTGGTATTTTCTTCACACTTACTTTTTCATGGTGACTTAAAAGCTTTTTTGTTAGTTCATGTTCCGATAATGGAAAATAATCCTTTCCTCCCGAAAAAATTCCTGAGAGACCTAAATTTTCATTTAAATCACCAGCATTTCCTAACAATTCTGTACCTAAATGTTCATCATTCTGCAGTGGTGATACTTGAAAATCTAATGGATAGGATTCAGAGACTTTTGCTGCCCAGTCACTCTCTGAAATATTTCCTGAAGAAAGAGCCAAAATTCCTTGCTCTTTATTCTTGGCTTTATTTGAATTTAAATTTGATTTTTCTAGGATTTCATTTTCTACTAGGACGTAATCTTTATCCAGAGATGCTTTCTGCAGTTTGTCAATATTCCTTTCAACACTACAATAAACACCTGGATTACTCATAGATTGCAAATTTAACTTAGTGTTCTCACTTCCATTGTGCACTGCCAGCTCTCTGAAAGAGGACACAACTTTCTCTGAAGATGTTGCATCTGTTGCACGTGAAAGAGAATCACCTTTTTCTTCATACACTTGAAACTCTCTGTCTTCAGATTTTAAAGTATTATGGCTTTTGCTTTCTGTAAAGCAATGCTCTTTATGCTGACAGTGAAAATGAGTTCTCTGTAAAAAATGTTGCTGTTTGTAAGGGCTGATACCCAGGGCCTGCTCTGCAGTTTTTGGAGTTACTTCAGCTTTCTTTGTTGTTAGGTCAAAATCAGTTTCTGATTGCATCTTACATTCTTCCTTTGTTGAAACATCACTCCCTGCCCTTCTTGAATTTTTTTTTCCTTTGGTTTTGTGTATCATTTCCACTTTAGGCAGCTTCTTTGATTTCCCCTCTGTTTTCTGTCTCTCTCCATTAGCAATTTGCTCCTTTAACATTTCACCAGGATCATTGTTCACGCTCACACAGATTTCAGTTGAAACAAAACAATCTTTTCTGCCATTTTTTTCTTCTTTACTTTGATTACCAAAACCCATTAAACTCTCCTGCTCTGTATGTACCTTACTGTCTCTGTTGCCACTAATGCTGTTTTCTTGACCAGTGACATTTAGAAGTTGCTTAAATGTTCTGTCTGTTTTGATTTTATCATATCTGTCTACATTTAATTTTCTTCTGTTCATTTCCAGTTTATTTTCTGAGTATTCAGGTTTACTGGAAGAGTTCTGATTTTGCAAATATTCCACATCCATCATGCTTTCATTAGGTTTCTTTTCTTCTCTCAATTCAAGATCTTCATTGCATCCCAAATGTTGAAAGCCTTCAGCTGACTTCACAGGTTGCTGGAGTTGATTCTCTCCTGGTAAACTCTGAGCATGACAGCACATGGATTAAACTGTGATATGATGGAAAGTTTCTTATTTTTCTGTTATTCTCTGTTTTCTTAATGCCATTACTGAGAGTTAGAAAGAAGGACTGGCATAAAAGAAAATCTTGGAAGAATCACAGACTTCAGAGGTCTGTGAAGAATTTTTCTTCCCGGAAGAAAAAAACCCTCATTCCTCTTTTGAAAATGGTTACTCTTTTTCTGATTTGCTATCCTGATTAAAGAGAAAGAAACCCCATTATATTATTTTGAGACTGGAAACCTGCTTAGGTTATCTTCAAAGAAGCTACCAAAAATTTAGAAGGCTGACAGAGGAGGAAGGAAGATGGGGGATACTTGATTTCAAAAAAGAGCAGCCCTGGAGACACAGAGCAGACAAACTCTAAACATTTTGGAAGTTTCCACTTGTTCTTGAAGAACATGAAGTCTATTGACATTCACACATTTCTTGATCCTTGTTCTTTGACTGAATTTTTATCCTTGATGCCATTATCATTACTAGTCATACTAAATCCTCAGTTACAATGGCTACTTATCAATAAATATTTTGTATTTCCATCAGTTTGCTCCACCACTTGATGATGCCCAAAGACACATGCTGTTTTTAGTGTTGGTTCACAGGTATTCAATAGCAAGAAAAGCCAATAAAGACAAAATCAGCACCAGAATTATATAACATTCATTTAGGAACTGTTTTTTTCTTTAACAATAACAATAAAGTTTTTACCCATATGGTAGTATTCTGCAAATTTATCCAATTTATAAAAAAACAATGTAGTCCTTAAGAACTACTAAATAATCTCTTTCTGAGAGACAGTTTTCAAAAGAAAGTGAAAATTTTAGAGGGTTGGTTATTATTTTCTTTCTCAATTATTTGGAAGGTTTGCTCTGCAGCAAAAATGTATTTTGAATAATTCCTCTGCCTAATGTCAGTAACGTACTATTGCTAGTAAGATCCAACACTAAGCATAAATAAAATGCTGTCTGACCCCAAGGAAACAATACAGTAGAAAGGCAGGAGGAAGAAAAAACCTAAACAACTCAAACTAACTTCAGAAATTAATTAAGAAGGTATCTCATCTCCCTGTTGAAAGAACTTGTCAATTAATTGGACTAATCCATACTATGGAATATTAAAAATATGTATACATAGGGTATACACGGTGAATTTGCCTTCTTAATGTCTGCTTTTATCCAAAAGATCAAGCCCTAGGGTATTAAAATTGAAAGTATTAGTATTTAAATTTTAACTACATCTCCATATGATCATTCTAGGTGGAAGAACTGGTAGAATGTATAGATGGTAGAGGATTTTGCTTATCTGAATGATAACACTGCTAACACTGCTACATTCCTGTTCAATGTGCATTACATAAGGAGTTTTAGTTTTCCTTGTCTGTTGGTAACTTTGTGAATTATTCCAACAGGTATGTTGCTCTCTGTTTGCCTAGATGTTCTTTTTGCTTGGTTGACTGCCAGAGAATGACCTACCTCTTCCTCTTCCAGTCTTTTCAAGGAATCACCTGCAAACTTAATGTATTGGGTCATCAAGGTCACTAAGGCAGTGTACCGAGTCCGTAGATCCATGAACTGTAGAGAAACAAGGAGGAAGGGTAAGTGTCATAGAAGTAAATACTCCTATTAAGCTTGAAAGAAGTGATAGACACTGCTCTAGAACCTATCCTGATTTTGATTTCAAAATCATGACTGTGGAATCCAAAGTTCTAATTTTGATTCCACAATTCAATGCTGTCAACAAGGTGCACTTGAACAAATATATCCTAAGGATCTATGAGTAGATACTTCTACTCTACTTCTTATGAGTAGATCCATAAGAAGAAGAAACAGAAGACAATGTTTTGACTTTGCAGTCCCTTGATTCTTCCCCCTGTAAGAAAAGGTTTCAAGAGGGAGAAGCCATGCTTGTCACTGTTCCTCTCTCTAAGAGGTAGCAGGGAGACAGATTTATCTTTCTCACCCAAATGAGGCTGATTTGCCTTAGAATCTATCAAAGCATCCAGATCCAGTAGGTTTTACTATGGTCAAGATGAACTTCTTGTTTACTGTGATTAAGATCCAGTCTAGAGGTAGTTCTAAACAGTTTTACTGAGGCACAGTTCTCATACAGCTTTTTATCATTTGGATGACTGTTTTTAATCAGCTGCATTTTGCTGTCTTGCTACCAAATTGCAGCATAAGGAACAAGAGAATTTTTGTTATACCATGTATGTATAGAGAAAAAACCCAGTCTTTTTTGGATTACCGTATTTAATAATTATTAAATCCAAAACTTAATTCTTGTGTTTACTCTGTTTTAAGGAAAGACTCACATTTTCCTGTCATAAGAAACCCATTTACCTCTTGAATAATGAAGTCTGATGAGCTTTGAATTCTTCGTCGCTTTACTGGAGATTTTTGTTGGGAGTCAACCATAGCTCTGTAGGTCATGGTCTGCAACTCATAGTCCTGTACAAGAGAAAATGCACAAAATCATTGGCATTATACATGATACTGACACTAAAAGATAGGACTATAAGTGTAATGTTATTGTTACCTTCACAGCAGCTGAGTATTGTTCTGAATATTTCTGGCATTCATCTATTTTGCTTTGTTTCATTTCAATCTCAGAAACCAGCATCTGTAAATTATGAATGTACATTTTCATCTTAAAAAATTGTTACCATTATAATTAACATTTCTACTTTATCTAACATTATCTAACATAAATAGATGGCTCATTAACATCGACTTTATCTAATATGCTCCTATCCATATGTGTACAAGTAATTATGCTCAAGCTGAGGACACTTATGTCCTCAGCTTAATCAGATTTACAGTACAGAAGCAGTGAAAAAACCTGCCAGGTTAATAGTTGGTGAATGAACTTAAAATAAAACCAGAAATATATCATTACATGCATATAATGTATTATCCTGTCTATTTATACTGTATTTCCTTCTTGCAGGAGACACATGTTGAGTTTAGCTCTGCTTCCATGAAAATATTTCTACATCCATAAATAAAAAAACAGGACTGAATATGGAATTATGTGGTAAGGCAAGTCCAGAAGTTTTAAGGTTTTGATGCTCTTGCACACTGGAGGACCAAACGATTTGGTCTATATGACAGTGACAATTGTCACTGGGTGATATATTCATGGCTGCACCAGAAACACAAAATCATAAAATCATGATTACTTGGAGCTTTACAGTAAGGGCTGATGGGTATAAGCCATTCATATTAATAAACAATATTGAGATCACTGATATTTTAATTCTTTGGTCAGTGCTTACCACTGTGGTTTGCCACAATGACATCCCTTTCATACCTTGTGTTGGTTCAACTGCTTAGCCAATGCTTTGCTATTTTCAGGATGTATTTCTTGAATCTTTCGCTGAGTATCTTCCACTTGTTGAATCCAAGTGTCCAAAGAATTGTAAGTATCTTTATAATACTTCAGAGATTTATTAATACCTTCTAAATCACGCAACCTGATTTTATTTTATAAGATAAATCAAAGGGGAGAAGATTATTATTAAAGACAAAAAATACAACACTAAGGCAAATACAGCTTTAAAGGCTTCAAATGCCTTAGCTCTGTTACAGTTCACAGCATAAAATCTGGTGTAACACTAATTAAACAGCAAATTCACTTCTCAAACGCTAGGGCTTCCCAGCTTGAGGAACTCTTTCCATTTGTCATAAAGGATGTCCAGGAGAGATCCTACTATGCAAGAAACTCTATATATCCCTCATTAGAGTGTTCAACTGCTTGAAGCTCCAGGAGCACTGGAAACCCCAGGAAAGAGGGAGGGCTCTGCTACAGCAATCAGCTCTGTTACAAGAAGTGAGAGTATTTAAAATGTGGCCTATGAATCAAGAAGGAGAGTGCCATGCTGGAGTCAAGTAGTGGTTCACCATACTCTCCGTGCTTCCCACAAAACAGCAGGAGTTACATTAAAACTGAAGATTGTAAATATGCTAATGTGCAAAAGTAATTGAACATATACATCTAATTTTAAATCATGGTTTTGACCTAAAAAGAGAGGTCTGTGTATTTCTTTAAAGTAATTTCCATACTGAGGGAGATACTGACAGTTTTTCTTTCATGATCCTGAACTGTTACTTGCTATCATGGTGTGATTTTGGTGGTTGTTCTGTGCAGAGCCAGGAGTAAGACTCGATGATCCTTGTGGGTTCCTTCTAACTCAGGATATTCTATGATTCTACTTAAAAGATCATATAAATATGACCACTCAACACTGCAGAATAAACAGGAATATACAACCTTTTACGGTTCTACTTGGAACGAATACTTTGAATTGCTGTAGTGCTGTTCTTAAGATGCCAAAAGGAGATTAAAAAAGAGCAAGCAAAGGAATTTTTTTTGCTCAGGTTTCATACTTAATCATATTTTAAAGCTAATAACCATGAAAAAGAGAAAGGATCATGATAACTGCAGCCAATATTTGTACATAGGTTTTGTATAATGATTATCAGTGTCAAGCTCGTAGGAAGAAGCAGAGATAATATTTACAGAAGGCAGCTTGTTTAAAACTGTACTGCAGTTACCACAATCTGTCCTGTTTACACCAGAAGTCACTATGTGTTAGCAGTCATTTTTCAGCATATTCTGTTCAGGATACAGTCCTGGCAGGAGAGCATGTGGTTCATGCTTACTCTCTTGAAGAAATAAGAACACTTCAGTACCTCATAAAACCACTGTTTAATAATTTAAATTATGTCACACTAACAACTGATGAAAAATCAGAAATCAAAAAATCAAAAATCAAAAATCTGCAGCCAGCTTTTAATGAGTGACCTTTTCTCATCTTCTTTCTAACTTCCAGTAATGTTAAACAGACACAACTAAACTAGTTAATTACAAGTGAATAACTTCAATATTGCACCTGAATGTATATTCACTCCTCAGAAAAGGAGGACAAAAATGTGACAGGTTGTTGTGTGACTTTTACATCAACAGCACCATCTTCAATGTTCTTTTTCAGGCTATCTATAATGACAAACTAAAGTTTGTCATCCCAGCACATTCCAAAAACAGTTAGAAAACTATTCAGACCTGTTTTAACATTCACTTCTGATTGTTTTTCCTCAGGAATAAATTTTAAAAAACAGTCTAAAACATTAACAGAATATAATAAAAAGTCATACAAACCTATTTTCAATTTGAGAATGAACATTTTGCCACCTCTCAGCCAACTGATCAACTTTTTCTTTATGCCAGTCAAAGTCAAGATCACGTTCCTTGTGCATTTTAAACATCTGATCACTGATCATCTTTGCCTTCTGCAGTTCATCCTCTAAGGCATGGAATGTTTGTCTTTTCTCATCTACCTCAGATCTCCATTGCTAGTAGGTGATAAAAAAAAGTTGTAATTAACTCCTAAATTATGACACTATTTTATAAATTAGTATTTTACACGAATATGCTGTATAAATGAATAAATGAAATATTTCAATTAATATTTTATTCTGCTTGCTCAAATACTCAAGTGGCACTAGAATGGGTCTGAAGCAATAAACTGCAAAAGAATTCTAAGTAACATCAATCCCCACAACACATAGATCAAAACACAGAGATCAAATGAACACACTCATCTTAGATATTATAGCTTTCAAAAAAATTATTGGGCAGATGCCATTCTATCTAGCAAAAAAGCATTACTCATAATTTGTCATATCAAAATGAGTTATAGACAGCAAAAAAAAAATGCTGAACTTCAATCTTTCAATTTCTCAAAGATATCTGCCAAGCTTCTAAGAAACCCTGATTAGAACACTGAAGCAGCAGCAAGAATGTTATTGTGGTCAAATTTACAAAACATAAATACATGTTATGTAAATTTGTAAGTATGTGCTACCTTCTGAAGAGCAAAGAAAATCTTACTGCAGCATTTACAAGTGCCACTTTTGCAAGTTCAGATACTTTAATGCATTTTGTAACAGCAGGAACATGCTTTCAACCTATCCAAATCCTAATGCTCCAAAGTAGCCATTTTTTTCTGAAATGCCAATCCAAATACCACCTAAAACTAAATACACAAGCCAATGTTTGACACCCTATAGAGTGAAGCATAAGGGAATCAGGTGTTAAAAGACAGATAGCTTTTGTCTTGTTTTTTTATTTGCCCATGAAAAGACACCAACCAGCTCTTACCTTTAATGTACCCATCAAATTTTCAATATTGTTTTTGTCAGCTGTTACTGCCTCTTCTTCACACAACTTAGTTTCATAGTGTTTTACTAATGATTCTGCTGTTTGGGTGTTCGTCAGCACCAAATTGATGGTTTTTAATCTGAAAAACAGACCCCCTGTTAACTGGACCATAAAAAAATAATAAATTCAATAAAACCATAAAATCACAAAAATCAATGCCAACACTGAACACTTTCATGTTTTTCAGCCTTTTCTTGTCACAGGGCACCCCTTTATACAATGTTAAAATGTTAACTCCCTTTTCCTTGATCAGTGTTATTCATACTAATTGTTTCAATTTAAGAGAAAACTATAAACCATAACATGTGTGATGGAAGACAGTCGAGTACATACTTATCTATGAAAATGGAAGACATGGAGTAAACTTGGTTCATGTTTTGTATAACAACATTGAGCTCAGAGCGCAGAGTAGGGACTGAAGGTGAACCAGCAGCTTGACTGAAAAACTCTTCACATTTATCTGTGATGACTCCCAAGTCGTCCTTGAGTCGATCCAGTTCTTTCTTCAGTTTCTGCAAAATGAAAGGTGATTGATAGTGCTTTCATCCTAAATCAACCTGATAGATACTTTACATATCACTATGAGTACAGGTCTGCCCTCCTTTACTTCCTCGATGATGACACCATTGGAAAAAACTGAAGAGAAATGTATGTGTAATAGGGAAACTAATGGAGATACCATTGATCAGCATATTTTTGCTCACAAACATCTTATTGTGAGCAAAAGGATGCTGATCAATGGTACCTCCATTAGTTTCCCTATAACACATATGATTTATTTAGCTTCACATTACACATACAAAGCTAAATATTTGACTCCTCTTTTCAAGGTACACTGCAAACCTTCCTGGCTTACACTCAAAAGTCAGGACATATTTGTTTTTTAAATAAAACTTTTCCTAAGCAAAAACAGGCTTTCTCAAAGGCTCACCTCTTGCTCTGAAATCCTAAGCACATTTTCATGTACATCATCCCTCTCCATCGGTGTCCGGATCTGCCGTATTAACCGCTCCTCACAACTCTCCAGTCGTAGTCTGATATTTCTGACTTCAGAGATGTACAGATTATAAATAGATTCTTCCTGCTCCTCTGTTGAGAGAATTAAGGCATATGTTAGCCATCAAAGTCATCATGTCATTTTCACCATAACTTCTCAGACTTTATAAAAAGTCATTGCTCTACAGGTGTTTTCGTGACTGGCCAAAATGCCATCAAGTTTCCATCAAAATTCTGGTTATAAGGCAAATCTTAGGAAATCTTAAATTTTGTTTTTATTAAATCATCTCCTCACATATGAAAGATAACAATCTGTGGTCATTCTGCACAGGCATTACTCTATGGTGACGTTGCTAAATTCAGTGACTGATTCTTTTAATCAGTGGTAGCAGGGACATGAATCCTCTTTCAGATGCACAGGGCACCACATCTTTCCTGAAGTTGAGTGAACTTTGCTAATGAAGTAATCAGCTTTGCACTACTGTATTTCTTTAAGTCATCAACCCTCAACAGTAAATCAGAAGAGCTATTCTAAGCTTTCTGTTCTCACTGTATTAATACAGTGTTAATTAGAGTTAAGACAGCAGTAACTACAGGCATCCTGTGGAGCTAGGAAAGTAGCTAGGACATTTTCCTTGCCTTAACAGGGTGAAAAATGTTCTAATTCTGTCACGAACTCAAAGTAATCAAGCTGTTTTCCAGCATTCAAAAACAAGGAACACAGGACTAAGCAGGGAGCTGTAAAGCACATAATAAATTCTTAGGTGTAAAATTTCTTGTAGCATTCTGTATATTATGTAACACATCAATATTTTTGCATAGCTTAATATATACAAAGTTTAAAACAATTAAGATCTTCTATACAATGGAATTGCACACATTGTTAAATTACTCTTTTCAAAAGAACACAGGCAGAAATAATATCATGATAAAAGAGATCTCAACATGAAGGACAAAATCTCTCTCATAAGGACATTTTTCCACATTTCTAAGCTAAGTTTTACCTCTTTCTGCAGACTTCAGAAGCTCTTGATAGTATTGCTTGCAAACATTAACTTCCCTTTCCAGCTGTGCTGTATCAGAGCTTGTAAAGATTTTGGACTCCTGGCTGTCTTCCACAAAATCATCAAAGCGGGACTGTAAATTGCTTAGAACCTGCTGATGCTCACCTGGCAGCATTGTCTTTATCTGCAACAGATTACAGACCCAAAGCACAGTCAGCAATGGTGTATCTCTCACACAGTTGCTGTGATGCTTTTTTATCAAAAAGCAATACTGATAAATTACTAAGATGGTAAAGTCAAAGAATTGAGGTTCTGAAAGCTCTCTGTTCCTTAGCTGGAGTCCACTTGACAGGTAAGGAATAACATAAAATCCTTTTCAATCTTTGACATCAGGAAAGGCCTCTGTTAAACTAACCCTACATCAGACTTCATTTCTCCCATCTAACACCATGCAGCAAACAAACAATAGCAAGGACAAGTAGGGACACCTCAAGAACTATCTCAGGTTCCTCTTTCCAACAGTAACAGTGATAAATTAGGTAGGAAAGTGTCATTTTCAGTATTGCAAGTACTTCTTGCAACAGTTTGTGCTCTCACACAGTTTTAGTCATCCTGTGACTTCCTAGTAAATGGTTGAGAGCCCTTCCTAGTCATAACACTTACTGAGGCAACATTGCCAGCTCGAACAACTTCAATTTCATTTGTCAGGTAATGCCAGGACACCACACTCTTCATGTTTACATGTGACTCATGCCAAAGGGCCAGAACATTCTGAAATTGCTGTTCAATCCTGAAACAAAAAAACTCCAACTTCAGATCAGGGTAACACATGAAAACAGGGTGAAAAAAAACCAAAAACAACCCCCCAAAAACAACAACAACAAAAATAAATCCACCAAAAAACTGTGAGATATTATTTTAACCTAAGTTTCATGTAAGTGGATGTTAACAGAAAATAGGTAGCTTTACTTTGTCCCTACCTGTTGGCTGTATCTATTGCTTCTTTGTTTGGTGGAGGAACTGTAAAGCATACAGATGGAACCATGGCCTCATTACCACTGGGGCTAATGACTTTCCATTTAGCACGATGGGAGTTGTTTGCTAATACACACTCATCATCTTTGTAAATAGTTATCTAGTATTAACAGAAAAGCAGAATCATTTGATGAGCCAAGCATTACAAAATAATTGTACAAAGCACTTCTACAAATGCTGTCAACAAATAAGCAACAGAACAACAAAACCAATGTTCCAACCAAAGGATTTGCTCTTGTTTACTAGGGTGGAAGAAATTCACAGCCCAGCTTTCTCCAGGAACACGGTAATTAATGAAACTTTAGCTGAATTCTTACATCTGTAATTGGTTTGATGAAATTTTAGTTTCTAACCTCAATTTGTCTATAGTCACAGATGGCTTTAATTGGAATGGATGTTTTGAGTACACAGTCAGGGTTCCTTGGCTTCAGCTGAATTATTGCCTTTGCTCTTCCCACAAGGCCTGCTACTGTGCTCTTATACTGCAAGAGTTGTTCTTTTTCTTCCTAGAACAGTTAAGAAAAGAACACGTCATCAGAGAAGTCCAGAATACAGTACTGCCTCTTTGATCCTGTTATGTTTTTTTTTCCCCCTGACTCCTACAGTGTTTCTGAAAAGTAACACACTTTACAAAAACAAAGTATCTTTCTGAGGCCACAGTCCTCATATATGTGGTATTGTAAATACAAGCAAATAAAATTGTATTTTAAAGTTATGAAAAATAGTCATTTATTTATAAATTCTGAAAAAAAAATCAGCATTTTTCCTTTACTTTAAATGAATAATCTTAACACGTTTTATATCCCACCATAGCCTACACATTTCTTGTTTCATTGTAGCTCCTGCTACTAGGCTCCAGCTAAAGATCTTACCATAGACTCCTGGACAAGGTCTTCCAGCCTATGAAGACTGCTTGATCTATCACAGCTGTATTTTCGGTATATGGTATCTTTTAAATTCTTCAAATATTCCATGGCTTCTTTGGCATCGCTGAAAAACTAGGATAAAATAATTATCTGGGTTATTTTTAAACAAACTAAAAAATGCAGAATCAGCTACACTGAGGTTTTCAAGTGCTGTCTTTTAAAACAACCTTTTCTCATCACTTGAAGTGACCACTGCACTTCACTCAGCTACTCATGATCTCATGTCTAAATGTACTGTTCGAAAAGGCACTCACTGCTAACACCAGTTATTCTTGGTATGAGCTACATGCAAAATTAATTCGGCAATTATTGAACCTACAGTTAATGGCCATTCCTGCAATGAAAAAAATGTATTAAGCCAATCTTGCTTTCCATGGAATTACTTTCATATAGAAAACACAGATGAAGCATACAAACTGTAGAAACTAGCTGCAAAATCCAAGCAGCACAGCTGGGGCAAACATTTTGTTCAGGAAGGGAAATGTACTGCCACACCTGGCAGTTGTGCAAGGGTATCTGCATACCCAAACAAGGGTCCTGGTTAGGCACAATTGGGAAGGAAAATCCCATTCTCTCCCTTAAGGCCCTTTTTTAAATCCAGAATTCCAGTTTCTTCCCCTTGTCACAAGGAGCTCAAATTGCTTTTGCTTCTCCAGTGTCCCGTTCCTAACTTTGGGATCTCATCTTTCTCAGTCCAAAGGCATCTCACCCCTTCATCACCTCCCTTTCTCTTCAATCACACAACCCAGAAGACACTATGGATTCATCCTTATAGTTTGAATGTTTTAAATGAGTAGATTTAAAAACAAACAAAACTAACAAAAAAACTCCTCTGTCTACCATGTTCATGCAAGTAACTTAATCATTTGCTGAGTATGTGAATGGGTGACAATGAGATAGTCAGACAGGTGTTTCATGGGATGTTTCTGCTCTCAGGGTGTTCTCTGCTCTCTTTATTATTAATGCTGCACATTCCATTTTGCTTTGAGTAGTCCTGGAATAACCATCTAGAATATGCTCTCCCATTGTGCACAACAGGGAGAGAACAAGGTTTCATTCTCAGAGTCTCTACTTGCAGCTGCAGCATTGAAAAAATCTCAGGCCAGATTTTCATCTGCTGTGAACAGACATAACTGTAGTGAAGAAACTGAGTTGTGGCAACACCGTGAGAGCGTGGCTTATCATCTAGTGATAGTACAAGACAAATGTCAATTCCAGAGTTACTGTGAGAGAACAACTAGAGCTTTTGGTGGAACTTTTTGACTATGAATAGAACTTATATTATTTCTTATTCTGTTTTATTTACTTTCTTACCTCAAAATATGCAGCATTTTCTCTCAAATGTTGTTCAACACAGTGGCAGAGCTGCAGAATCCAGCTCCATTGTGTCTGCATTGCAGCTCTATAGGCCTTTAAAGACGAGAGATATATTTTACAAATGGAAATGAAAACTAAAACTTCCATACCTTTACAGAATTTAGGAAACACAAAAGTAATGCAAGAAACACAAACAACTAAAACCTGACCACCTCACCCTGGAAAACTAAGCTGAAGCAAGGAAAATTCCAATTAGATGTGAGAAAGAAACCCTGTCACAGCATAGTCAAACACAACAAAACTTGCCCAGAGGGACTGTGAAATCATTATCCTGTGACCTGGTCAGAATTTGGCCAAACAAATCCCTGCTAGTACTCCAGCTCCTGCTGGGAGCTCAGCTCCCGAGAGATTCCTCCAGTCTAGGCTCATCTACAATTCTGTGTGCCTATTTACTCAATCAAAACAGCTGGAGCCTTTCCTGGATACAACTGGTAAACTGCAGGAGCACTGCACACCCAGCTGAGATCGGTAAACTGCAGGAGCACTGCACACCCAGCTGAGATCGGTAAATGGCAGGAGCACTGCACACCCAGCTGAGATCGGTAAATGGCAGGAGCACTGCACACCCAGCTGAGATCGGTAAACTGCAGGAGCACTGCACACCCAGCTGAGATCGGTAAATGGCAGGAGCACTGCACACCCAGCTCAGATCGGTAAATGGCAGGAGCACTGCACACCCAGCTGAGATCGGTAAATGGCAGGAGCACTGCACACCCAGCTGAGATCGGTAAATGGCAGGAGCTCTGCACACCCAGCTGAGATCGGTAAATGGCAGGAGCTCTGCACACCCAGCTGAGATCGGTAAATGGCAGGAACTCTGCACACCCAGCTGAGATCCCACCCAGCCCGGGCCGAGATCCCAGTTTGGGTCGCCCGAGGAGCCGCGCGCGCCTCGCCAGCAGGGGGCGCTCCTGCCCTTGGGAAATCCCCCCCAATCCCGGGGTTCGGACTCCTCTCATCCCCCGTCCAAAACAGCTTTTCCATTGTCTTCCAGGAATTCCAAACGGATGCATTAATGCATATATTGTTCTGCAGAAAAGGATCATTTTTTAAAGGGTATTTTATAAATATCCCAGTATAGCATCATTGGAGACAGCATAACCTGCACAGTCACGGTGACTGCGATGGCCTGGTTTCATAACAGGCATCCCCAGCCTGGTTTCACACTACACCAGCAAGAGCCCATTAGAACAGCTCATACTTTTAAAGAACAGAATTGTCCACATTACAAAAAAAAGTGATTTATTATTCCAAGTAGATATCCTGAGAAGGAAGGAAAGGAGGGTTTTTCTTCATGTTTCCCATTTTTGCAAATGTACACTAGCAGAGCTGAAGAACAGTAAAAATGTATTCTCTGACTTTTTTTATTCTTGTATAATAAATCAGCTTTTTATTGTTTCAGTCTTGACCACTCACTGTCTTTATCTACTCTTTCCTTGAAGGTCTACAAGGAGAAGTGTTTTACATTCTCCTTTGAAAACCTGTTACGACCCTACAACAGCTACAATAAATTTTTCTATAAATTGTTTACATATATAACATAGAACTAGATTCAAGCCTGAAGTAAATCATATCACCTGGTCAGATTTCCACCATCCAAACAAGTTTCATAATTCACTGACAAGTGAGTTATGAAACCAACCCTAAATCATATTAGGAACCTGCACATACGGTAAGTGATGACAAAGGCTCTTACTGAAATTTCTTTCAATCCAACAGGAAAGAAATCACATAAGGACTGTTCTGTGCCCTCAGTCTGTCAATGCAATTTGTATCAACAACTCTAGAAGTTACATGACCAGAAACATCTCTACAGACCAATTAATTTTGGAGTTCCAGGAGATTTCATCTAAAAAATCCAAGGTGTAACCATAACTTTTAAAAAGTGGTTTTACTTTTTGGAAACCGGAAGATAAATACAACAGAGATGCTGAAGAGGAAATTTTAGAAGGCCCCTTTTATTTAGAGTCTTGTTTAATTTTCTCAAAATTTGCCTTCTTTTCCCCCTTTTCCCCCAGAATTCAGCTCTCTTAAATCCCAAAACTTTTCCTGTTTTGGTGCTGGTTTTACTAACTTACCTCAATGGTTAGCCTGGCTGGGTGGTTTTCAAGAAGCAATTGCTCAGCTATTTCTTGTACTGATTTAATAACTTCTTCTTTTTCATCAAGTTCTCTCATCAATTCCTATTTCAGACAAAAAAAAAAGTTGTAGAACTCTATCTAATTAATAAAGATCATTTAATAATTCCCTCTGGATTATATTAGCAATACATACTGCATGATATTCCTTTTTTCTTGTTATATTGGGGTTTCTTTCACTCCAGTCATATGCAACCTCTTCCTCTTCTTTTTCATTCAGCCATATCAACTCTCTAGTAGCACGAGACACAAAATTGTGAAGAGTATCTAGATGCCTTTCCTGATTTCTTGATGTGTTCTTTTTTAAAAAGAAAAGAAAAATATTTAAAATAATCAGAATTTAAAGCTCATCCCTTATCAGAAATTATGCACACTGAAAAGCTGAACATGGTTAACTTACCAAGAGTTTTGAATACTGACTCTCCAGTTTGTGCAGTTTTTCTGCATAACTGAGTTTAAGAGGGGCAGTCATTTGGATCTGTATTTGGTATATGAGATCAAAAGACAATAAAAAGGTTAGATATGTTAAACCATTAGGTCTTCTGATTTCATCATAAGTCATGTAGAGATTAGAAATAAAAGTTAGACTGAAATCTAAACACAGTTCTAAAATTCAACACCACTTTATGGGTCACCCAGTAAGAAAGCAATCAAAGAAATACAGAACATGGTGCAGTACCTCACTGATTTTAGCTTCTTTAAGGCTGGATTCAAATTCCTCAATAGCTTTGTGGACATTTTTGTGATTTTCTAAATGGCTTTCAACACTTGGCAAATCTGAACCCCATTCTGCTCGATCAAGTTGAACCTTACAAACAGGAAGAAAAGATTAGCCATGATCTATAAAAAGTAAATCATTAAAAATGGACTGTTTCTGCAAAAATTGCTACCTGCATTTCTTCCACCCAGCTCAATAGGTCCTGGACAAACTTCATGTTCACCTCCTCTTCTGTCAGATTCTGATCCACGAAAGCCGATTTCATGAGAGGTTTTCTGATTTGCATCAGTTTGAGTGTTTGCAGAGTCCCACTGTCGACCCCCGTCACGTAGCTCTGAATTAGCCGCGGCGGGATGCCTGGCGGGTAGGTGGGAGTCACGGTCGGCGTCAGTCTGGAGCTCAGACCTGATGAGAGGCCAGATGTCATACTGGAAGAAGTCAAAGTAGGTGTTAAACCTTGTGTCATTGCAGCATTTAATTCAGGCGTTAGGTTTGATGTAAATCCTGAGTTTAAGCTTTCTGTTATTCCTGATATCATCAGCTTTGTCTGCTCCGTGGTCAGAACGTGCCCCTTGCTGTACACGGAAGAGCACTCGGTCCGCAGAGCCATCAGGTCATCACGAAGTTTTGCAACTCTATTAAAGCAGAATTAAAAAATAACCCAATGAATGCTTATGATTAAGGTTTATCATGATCAAGTGAATAGTGATATGAGCTGACGTTATCTCTCACACTTTAGTTGCACTTAAATATTATAAGCAAATATTTTTATTAGAAAGTACAGGGAATATCAGCTTATAGTTCTATACAGAAAATAAATGCAGAAATCAGGCAAAGTCTGAAAAAATGGTATAGGCACTAACATGCACCATACACAAATCCAGGGAACAATCAGCAAACCAGAAATCTGACAAGACACTACATGTTGGGGTAGATCAAACACCTCAGTTCACTGCCAAGGAGTTATGCACTTCATTTCAATCAGTCCAAGGATGAATCTCAAAAAAAACTTTGGAGCCACTTCTTCATAGAACAGAATTATGTAGTTTAAATGCTTCTTTCTGCCAACACTGTACACAGTGCTACACATAACCTAATGTTACTCCACCTATCACCTGTTAATACATCTACATCTGTCACCAGAATCTCATCTCCATTTAAAACATCAAATTTAGTAAATTCTAAATGTGTTTTGCATGCAATAAAGCAAGCTAACATCTTTACACACAGATATCTAGTAAGAATTAAACAGGGATTGACTTCATTTTCATAAATAATTACAAATAGCTCCTGTTGTCTTCAACATTTGTGGGCAATGCACCCACCAGAATATCTGATATTTAGGTGCCCAGTGACAGGCCGTGAAGTTTAAACATAGTTATAAACAACTGAAATTTTTTTCCATAATGGGAATCCATATTTGGGACATTTATTTATTCACATAAACATACTGTAAAGTACCTTTGAACAAGCTGGTCTGCTTGATAGTATTTTCCATCAATAAGAATTTGGGCATCAATCACTTGCTGGCGGAGAAGATTCTCAGATTCAAGAAGATACCCAGCTATCTCTGCCTCATGCTGGAACTGGAGCCCTGACTCCAATCTCTTGGTGTCCTTAATAAAGAAGCAAAAGTCATAAGCCTTGCAGCTAAAACCAAAGAGATATCAGCTCTAAGAATTATATTAAAAAAAAAAAAAGAAACTTATTCTTATCTTGAAACAATTGTGAAGCATTTAATTAACTACAGAACAAAAAAAAATTTAACAGAACACACCCTAGGCAACTTGTGGTATTTTCTTGAAGAATTTTCAATGAAAATAAAAGTAGCAGCTATTAAGGTTGCCTTCACAAACCCTTAAGAAATTTTTGCCATTCAACTTCTATAAATCTATGACTACAGACAAGTAAAATCCCCGACTGACTTACAGACTGCAGAGCATTCCGGGCAAGTATCAGTTTGTCCTCACAGCTCCGGCTGTCCCGCTGAATTCTGTTCGCAATTTGCTGCAGCATCTCCAACCTAGATGATGCCAAAGCATTTCAGGAAAATAAATAAGTACTATGTTATTTTTATATTTACAATCATGCTGCATGACTTTAAAAACAAACAAACGAATCAACAGCATCTACCACAAAGCACAAAGGCATATGTCAAGTTACCTGTTCCCTTCTAAGGTTCCATTACCAAAGCTTATACAAGATTTAATCAGCGTGGGACCACAATTAACAGAAAGGAAATTCTCATTAGAGTCAACGCTGGTCCGAGTACTCGTGCTGTTGCTAAACAGCGAATCACTGCTATGATAGCTGTAACTACTGCTATTCATCTTTACATCCAGAGCACAGATCTTCTGGCTGTTTGCATTTGCTGAAAAATGAAGATAAAAGCCCTGCAAAATGTACAGCTTCTAGGGATGAAATTCCACTACTGGCTTTTGAAACACCTAGACTCCTCCTTTATATAGGCTTCTGTATGCACATTTAAAACCCAGCAATTAATATGCTGCCAGCTCTTCAAAGGATTTTACCTGGGGCTATGTACGCTACCTTGCTTTTGGCTTCCCTACCTTGCATTAAAGCTTTGCAAGTACAGACTAGGCAGCAACAATGGGGCGTCTCTAGGAAACAGACACACCAAATATTTGATTGAAGTGTCACTAAATAACTATAAACCAAGTAAGAACTAAAAGAACTCTTTGTGGTGTCCCTCAGACTCTTCAATGGAAAGTTTCAAAAAGGAGTGAAGGGAGAAATCCACACTCGACAGTGCAGTACAAATAACCTCCAGGCTGGGCTGACTCCTCTTCCTTCAAATAGGACTGCACAATAAAACTGGAGGAGTATCAGGATTAATCAGCTCATTACAATATAATCTGAAACATATATACACCATCCAACCTAATGCCATTCCTGCATTGTCCAAGCATGCATCTTCACTAACTGCCCTGTTCCACTACACTGTCCTCCTGAAGATTTCCCTTCATCTTCTTCCACATGCACAGCCAATTGCTTCCAGTTGTTTTGACCAGAAAATAAGTAAGAAAAATCTGATCACTGCTTTCAAGTTTACTTTTTAACTCAGATTTTGGGCTGGGGTGACTCTTTCAGTATTTCACCGCCTGCTTTTAGGATTCCTGAACAACCACACCCATCCCATAAGGTGACTGTTTACGCAGCAGAGCTCTGCAAAGGCACAGACACACCCCTGCAGCAATGCCAAACTCTGCTAGTTTTGCAAACTAGAGCTCAGTTTGGCACTCTCCTCGTTGGCACCATATTAATTTTGATCCCATATACCAATCTGGCCACACATTGTCTGTGTGTTTGTGTTGATACTTTGAGATGTATTCAACAAACTTTCAAGTCAAGTTTTATTATTCACCAGGTTTCAGTATTGGCTGAAGTCACATTTTTGCCACAATCAAATTTCACCCCAGCAGCTGTATCAGCACCTCATAATGATGAGATGCACTGGTAACCAGTGCAACAAACACAAATTACATTCTTGTGTCCACATCAATCAATACTTTTAACTTGGTGACTGAGCCAGAAGCACTTAATGACATTTTCTCTATCATTTTACAGTGAACATCACCTGTAGTGACTACCACCATATGACCTGTCAACTAAGTGTGTTTACCCTTCCTGAAATATGGGAAGGAAGTTAGGTTCATGTTTGTTTATCTGCACTCAGACCTTATAAAAAATAGAAATAAACTTATGTCATTTACACACATTCTCAACAAAGATAATCCAGCTTTCTGCAAGTATGAACAGAATTTCTATTGGTGAAGCCAGACACTTTGCTTTGAGCAGGTTGGGACAGATTAACCTACAAGACCTAGCAGGCTGTATTTCTGCTGCTGCTTTCCAGTGTTCTGCTCTGCATAAGAGGGAGAACTCAGTGTGGACAACTTCGTATTCCTCTGTAGGAACTTGTTCCACAGTCAGGTGCTGTGAATCAACACCTCCTACTGAATCTGCCATTTCAGTCATGCTCTTGCTCTTGTAAGCATGACACATGTTTAATCAGTTCTGACTGGCTTTGTCCTCTGACTGAAATCTCTGCTGCTGAGGACTTCCTATACAATGGTCTGGATTCCTTACACCTAGTTTCAGGTACCTAAACCAGAGAGATAGGTCACCCTGTCGTCACCAGTAAGTCAGCAACAAGATTCTCTAGGAAGAAGTGATTCAGATCTTAGATGTCTCCTTTGGATGCATAAGGTCAAGCAGAATGAATCCAGATCCAGGTGTCTGTATCTACCCACAGGTAGAAGCCCCAAAAATCATTTAAGAGAGATTTTAAATTAATTAATGGATAGGACCTGTGTCTCCCACAGAAATTATAAGGACATACCATGGAAAAAATGCTCTCAGACTGCATCAAGACTTTAATCATGTTTAATATGCCATCAGTGATGTAAAAAGTGTCCCACAGCCTACTGTCATGAAAGGCAACTATGCCTTTCCACATCTAAACACTTGGTGTGCTCTCAAGTACCACCAACTTTTTAAACCTCTACAATGCTGTGCACCAAGAAAAACACACATTTCATGTAAGGGATGAGGATGGTCCTTATATGAAATCAAGATGGAGGGAGACAGTGACGTGGTATAAACCCAGCTTTGACTAAGTGCACAAAGAAAGTGGTTATATATGTGCATAAGTGTTTTGATGATCTGAGGCACAGATGCTGTTTGTCACAACCTTCTGAGCCCACCAAAGTTGTTTATGTCTGGACCTGCCTCTAGGCAGGCAGAGAATTCAGACCTTGAACAAAGACAGAAATGCTTGATCTAGAAAAATATTATGGACATTGTCATAGAAGAAGATATTTACAAATATTTACAAATTTCAATATGGGTTAAAACAATAGAAAATATATTAACAAAGCCTGCCAAATATTCACTAGCATACCTCTCCACTTCAGGCCGAAGGGTCTTCTCTCTTTCGAGCATGGCAATAATCAGCTTTCCCCATTCCTTTTCTATATCATTTGGATGGTAGCCTTGAGAAAGTTTGATGCGTCCAAATTCTATCCAGACCTTTAAAATTCGTATGTATTTGTTATTTTAGGCCACAGAAAAGAAACTTCTATACATTTCAATGATGTTAAAACTTACCTCTAGCAGTTTATATAGATGTTTGATTTTTGATTTATCTGTCTCCTTCGGTGGAATTTCTGTTTCTTTAAACTGTAAATATTGATTATAAAGTGCCTACAGAAATATGAAAAATAACATCATGTTTTATTTGCAGTGAATATAACCTTAGTCTCCAAACCCTCTTCTAATATTCTTCACAAGCTTACCTTTATACTGTTCAACTAGAGTTCTACAAAAAACAATCAGTGACAAGGCAAAGATTTGTTTTTGATTGTTCATATGCTAGCAACATATTGATTATACTTTGAAAAGGTTATCAAGTAGTACTGTTCTGCAGTTGACTTGATTGTATAAATCAACAAGCACGTCATTTGTTCAAGTATGCTTTGAGTCAGTAAGATAAAGTGCAATTCCAACAAGCAGTCCAAGCCACCACACCTCACCTTCAATTCCACAGGATTATTGGGAAATGTTCTGTCAGACATTATCGTGACATGGTGTCTGATCCACTGCATGAGGTAGTTCACCATATTCTGATATTCAACCCATTTGACTTCAACATCCTGCCAAAGCAAAACCCAGATTACAGAAGAGGTGAAAATCATCAAGAACTCATTTCTGCTTCAGCTTTGACAACTTCATGTATATAGAAAATAGATTTTGAAATCCTGCAATTCTGAGGCAATATTTATTTGCTCTTCAAAGATCAGTTAAAGTTTTCAAATATATGATTTCTGTCTTCAGTTTTGATCCCAAATAATTCTACTGAAAACAAAATATTTTCTAGATTAATAAATTTCAAGCTGGTAAGAATCAGAAAGGTGTAATTTATACATTCACAACTGAAAAGTAAGAACTTTGACTCGATCTTTCTCTAAATCAGACACATTGTTTTCAGTTAAGCTCTTTGCACAAATATTTTCATGTCCATGACATGAAATAGCTAAGACTCTAAAATCTCAGCTTAGAAAAACCATGTCAAAGAAAAGTGTGACAGCAGTCCTATGGAAGATCTAGCTAACATTCTGGATGTGAAATTCAAAATTTTATTAATGTAGCTCACACGCTACACAAGTGTTGTTTTTCTACTTACATTTGCACTGATGCCTTCACCACCTTCTGGTACTTTGGGAAATGCATCATAAAGTGATGACACATAAGTTATTACTGACTTTTCGTCAGGTGAGGAAACATCGACGTCTAAAAGAGCAAGACAGAACAGTGCTTTATCACATAGTTGTAACAATGCCCACAGCTACAACCTGAAGGCAGATTGGATTTTATTTTAGTGTTGAGGGTTTTGCAACAAAGCCATCTGTAGATCTCTTACCTTCAGGATCCAGAAGTCTGGCAACACCAAGTTTTTCTGCTACAAAAAAAGCATGTTCTAAATTTGCGAGGTTGCTTTGAACAGCAACGGTATTCATGTCTATCAGGTCCGGCCTGTCAAATAAAAACAGCAACACTTGATTACAACTCTTTACCAGTTTTATATTACAGCTGTACTGGTAAATCAAACCATGAGCATGGACTGACACAACAACAGAGTTTTCATTATAAAAGGATTTCACTAAAACTAGGTGAACAAGCTGAGACCACTGCTAACTGAGAAACACAAGCAGCAGAAAACTACAACATTCTGCTCTTCATGTACAAGCTGGTTTCCAGCCATCCCTTGTATACACCTCTATTTTCTTATGCATGTGCATTGACATTGTATTTCAACATCTTGTCCTTTCCACTGCCCCTGAGATTAAATTCACTTTTCTCTTTAACAGGAGGGAGTTACTTTCTACTGCTTTCACAAGTTTTCAGTCATTCTGCATCAAATTCTTCAGCATGTGTTAGAAGCCACACAGTAACAAAGCTTAGTCACAAAAACATCACGTCAACATTTTCTGATGAAGTTTAAAGAGGTCTTCTTCAAATGCATTTAAGCCCTGCTTTCAGATATACATTGGTGCCAGTTCTCTTATAGGTAACTCTCAGTCCCATGCACTTAAACCTCCACACCTTCATCCTGTTAAACTCCATTTCCAGCCACAATATGCTTGCTTTAATGGAATAATTGTTTTAAGCCAATCTTGCCTATAAATATTTTCAAGGCCCATAATTATTATCCTGTATCAATCCTGTACCAGCATCACTACTTTAATGCTTTCAATTAATGTAAAACTTCAAAACTAATATTGTTCTTGATGTTTACTGTGTAGGAGGTGAGTTTTAGATTTCGTAATTCTCAGTGTGTTGCTCCTTGTCTCTTTCAGCACTTGGAATTCTCAAAGCTGTCCACCAAAAGGAAATAAGGAATGTTCAAACATGCTGAGCAAAGCTCAGCAGAAAAAAAAGCAAAAGCTCATCTCACTGAAGTCAGCTAGAGCCACAAGGGTCTGAAACCTTTGCTTCTGAAACCCTACATTACTGAAAACCAAACTCACCGTGATAAAAATACCTAAAACAAAACACCAAATGAAAAAAAAATTAGCATATAACTTTCAGCAAACAATTAAGTTCTTAAATTTCCTTATTTTTGCTCCTAGAGAAACTATTTTCTTAGTTTTACCAAGTAGAAGTTTTAAATAATTGCAAGGGATAGAAATAAAACTGTTAAATACAATTGTTCAAAATTAATGCTAACATTTCATTTGGCAGCACCCTAAACTCCCTCAATAACAAAATGGCATTAACTCTGGGAAATTCAGTACAATCTTGACTTTGAACTGACTACAAGGGCACTGTAAATAAAAATCTATTTCTTTTCAGCCATTTAGAATCACTGTGTTCCTTGTGCTCTTTTGAAGACAAGTCTACAAGACAGATAATAACACTGCACCCATTATGCCTTGAAAGAACATTTAATAATAACAAAATGTAAGCAGTGCAATATAATCCTCCTGAGGCAGTGGGGCTTTCCACTTCCAATATGCTCAGTGGGAGCATGATCAAGCTCACGCTGCTCTTTGAATTTCAGTGCAACGAAAACAATGCAGTGAAACCAATATCAGCTGTTGCTCTCAGCAGCACAGAAAATCCATGAAAAATAAAAGACAATACTAGAAAAGAAAACTGAGCACCCCCATCTCCTGTGTCAGCCACAATAATAGAGATGGTATGAGTAATAAGGATTGCTTTAACAGCAGTTCTGACAAGAGAATCAGATTTTTGTAAGTGTAACACTGTTGCTTAGGCTATTTTTTTCCTCCTGCCTTCTTTACATTTGTTTCACATTTGATAAAAATGTCCCAAGAAAAATCACTTGCACTGCCTGATTGCCAACTCTCAGAACATGAAAGGGCACGTTGTAAAAGCCTTGAGTATTCCCAGAAAACAAGCTGCAAGCTGCAGACACTAACACAATCTCCTTAGAATAAAGCTTTCATTCAGTTGAAGAGGTAACATGGTTCTCACCGAGACACAGGTAATGAAATCAATAAAAACAACTGCTCTTCCATAATAAATCATTTTACATCAGTGCTGCAGCTTCACCACCCAGCTGAAGAAGAGCCAACTCTGTGAGATGCCTCCCCATCTTTTAAACATAATTTCCCATCCCTGAAATGCCTACCAGCATTGGACTATATTACAGCTCCCTTTAAGAACAAGGGAAAATTGCAATGAACACTAATACTGCCATTTCCAGTTAATTATACACTTAGCACACAGTATACTGAACTAGATTAACTGGTCTATATTTATCTAAAGTCTTGGTCTATGAGAAAATACTACAGAAGATGGCATTCCTGCCTGTCTTGGTAGTGCATGTCTTTGGTTCTTTAAAGCAGTCAGAAGGCTCCACAGCTGACTGAGAACAAGTCCACTGATGGCTCATGAAAAGGGAAAAGACAAGCATTATCACCTGAATGCAACAGCACCTGGCACGAGGCACAGCCAGATCATGCTGCCTAGGGCTTGGGGACTCCCCCTCTGCAGATCACCCTTTCCTCTTCACAAGTAGTAGAGGGATGTATTGCAAATCTACAGAGAATAGAGTTTACCTCCCAGTGCTCAGTAAAGGACTTTTTTAGCCTGAAAAAGTGCATCCAAAAAACACAGCTCATCATCCAAAAAATCACTGATTGCCATACTGTTCCTTTTGTTTAATAGTGGGGATTTTTGCAATTTTAAATATAAAAAAATACCATTTTTACTTGCTGTAAGCTTGCAGACATACCTGTCCACTAACTCAAAATAACTGTTGAAATTGCAATTGCGTTGAGTATCCTCTAATACATTAATTGTCATAGTTGAAGCAAACACTTTAATTTAAAAGCATTGTCCATCATGGCAAACATTTCCACTTTTTTTAAGGCTATAGAGCAAATATATGAGTTTTGTAGAAGTTATTTGTAATGTATTATAAATACATTTTGTATCAATTTGCATAGCATTATTAAGTAGATTTATGCATAATCAAGACCAAATTAAACAAAATGCTCTTTAAGTAACATACAATGACTCTACCTTCTGTCATAATATTGTGAGTCATCTTATGGCAGATTTTTCAGTGGGCTGGGGCCTTGCCATGAAAACACACATAAACATCCCAAACACCAGTCAAGTTGGAACATTCCATGCAAAGAAGATGCTTCTGCTGCAGCCACACCTAAGTCAAGGGTTTGGCTTCCACATTAAGAGCCATTAATCATTTAATTTATTAAAAATCTGCTGCTGCCATTTGAGATCTTAGTGTAGGTGTTAGAAATTAGATACAATTTGTATCAGAAATTATGGGGAAAAAAGCGTAAATAATACAACATGAATTAGGAAGCTAACAAAATTATGATAAATTCAAGAAAACAACACCTAGTACCACAAAGAGAGGGAAGAGAGCAGTATCTGAATAACAGCAGATACTTCTGGTCTGCAAAGACTCCTTGAAATCCAAGTTGTACATTATAAATAACATTAGGTACATGTAGATTTTCTCATTGCCAGAACTTAATACCTAGCAAAATAGTTTAAGATCCAATTAGCAGCTATAATATTTGCCCATTAAAATAAAATATTGTATTTGAAGGGGATTTTATACCTCAAACCAGAAAAAGATGTTTAATTAAACTTTATTTTCCAGTCAATGACGAAGAAATCACATCCTTCTCCTCACTCTTCTGGGATGACACTTGCTCGAGTTACAACAATGTTAAGCTTTACTAAAACATGTATATCAGAGTAATATTCAACATGAAAATTCTGTTAATGCATTCAGAAGGCTGAGAAGCCTGAAGTTATTTACATGAACCATCTAAACTGTTTAATTTCCACAATTCTTTCTCAGTCAAAACTCTGCATGCTGCCTGAGTAATAACCTGATATTAAAGGATATTTCATTCTTGGCTTATATTTAGTTAAAACACTAACAGAGAGACTTTCAAGCAGAACTCTCAAAAAAACATGACTGAAGATGCAGAGTGAAGTGTATCACGTCACTACAGTCCAATTAGCTTTTCCACTGCTCGAATTGGAAAATGCTTATAGAAGTTCAACTTATTTTTTCCATTGTTCACAGAAAAATGAAAAGGACGGGTGCCAGAAAGACTCATGCCTTTATTAGGAATGGAAGGATTACTAGAACAAATGAAAGACCACACCAGAATACACAATCATAGACAAAAATATTAAAAACAAACAAAAAAATCATCAATTCTAGAGATTTTGATTAATAACAGAAACATTGCAAAGCAAAAAAAAAAAAATTCATGCAAAACTGAAATTTTAGCTCTATCTTTTAAAATATGTATCTCCTATTACTTTCCCAAGAACTCCATAAATGAGATGATGAAGCAAAATATATTATTTAACCTATAGAATTAGGCCTACCATTTGCCTATCTCTTAACAAAGTTATAAAAATACCAATGTGTTTACAGCAGTTTACATGTAGAGCCACTGTTTTAGAACTTACTAAGCAATTTGTCCCCACATAAGGCAGAAATCTAAGCACTGTTCAAAACAGCTTGTCAAAGAACCTGATTCAGAAAGACTGAGGCAATAACACAGTTGGAATGATGGCTGAACTTCAGCTGCCCCATACCATTCTTTGTGCCCCACACACTTTTCTTGATTCCCCACGTTTGCAGTGCTCACACACAGTCATGACCAGGAGACCAAATCCCAGTGTCAGAGGTACCCTTTGCCAGTACATATGCCTACCACATTTTCCTGGGGTTTTTTTTTTTCAGGGGTAGTCTGATTACTTAGAAAAGAAGAAGAGGAGAGTTTCTGCTCAAGAATGTCAGGGAGGTTTGACTTTGTGGCATTAGGGAGGTACAGGTCTCTTCCATCATCACAATCAAGGACCACCATGTGGACGTACAGCACAAGGTCCTGTAGCAGGTTCCTTAGTGTCAAAAACCCCATGCCAAGGACAGGACATAAAATGTCAACTCTGAGTGAACACTATCTTCCATTACACCCCAGACTTCCCCCTCATTCAGAAGCTCAAAT